TTGAAAGTTTTCCACTAACATTTTATTTTTCTTTAGCTCCCTGTTCTTAGGCTACTTTGTGCAATTTTTTACAAATATTAAATGTAAATATTTATGAATATATGTACATATAAAGTCCAAAATTTAAATGTGCAAATCCAAATGTAAAAGCTAAATCTTAAATGTAGCTAAATGTTAAATTTCAAATTTAAGTTTTTTCAGAATGGAACGCAGCCTTTGCTGTTGGCGTGTGTCTTTTGTTATGATATCATTACCTGTTACAGAAGTAAATGGTAACGCTGCTGAAGACGGCATTTAAAATCTTAATTCAAAATGTGTGCGATGGAACGTGTGGTCCGGCAGTTTGAAGTGCAGCTCGGATATCGGCCAAAACTGCAAGTTTGACATCTTGTAGGTAAGCAGTGTTAGCAGTGTTAGGACCATTAGCAGCATTAGCAGCATTAGCAGTATTAGCGGTTGCTACTATCACAACGGCAAAGGCTGCATTCTATAACGAAAAACTTAAATGTAAGTTTTAACATTTAGCCACAACATTTAAAATGTATTTTTTTACATTTAGATTTAACATTTACAAATATTATGTAACATTAAAATTTGACACTTAATGAAAATGAGTAAAATGCAAGAACAGTGAGCTACATAACAATAAAATATTAGTTTAACTAGAATTTTACACTCAGAAAAAGAGCAAAAATAAAATGTGTTAGTGGCATATTTTAACATTTCATTTTACACTTGGCACCCAAACAATAAGCTATCATGGAAATGAGTAGCCAGAGTAATAAACACTTTAAAAGACCTTTCATAAATCCTGAAATACTGATCAAGAAGTTATCCAAAAAATTMATGTCTTTAGAAGTGAAGTGTAAAGAAACTATGAGTGGTTAAAAACTTTTCCACACATACATATGTGTTTATTATAATTGGGTTGGTGATTACATTACATTTATCCTCTGGCACTAAAATTGCTTCAGGAAGAGACTGAATCAAGAAGCAGGGCCACACATCTTTCATTAGATGCCAGGAAACAGCAATCAGGGGCCGTGCGTTTCAGGAGACCTCGGGATGCGGGTGTTCGTGTGACCCGCTGTGCATTTCAGCAGCTAATAAATCCCTCGAGAGCAGCGCGGCCGGGCTGAGTTAGATCCCCCTCATCTGCAGCTATCTATTTGACGCGATGCCACTCTAACCAATCTAACGCAGAGGTTGAACGGTTACAGGGAGCTCCTTTGGAAAACAATGTGCAGCATCTTCATCTCAATTAAACTGGCATCGAGGGCTGATACAGTTTCATGTTGATGCGATCAGGTGGAAGTCTGAGGCCAGAGGAAGGAAAGATGGTTGTTGTTAGCCGTTTTTATTTTCACTGCAGTGTTTTAACATTAGGGAGGACAAATTGAATTGTATATCCATCCATCCATCCATCCATTTTCTTCCGCCTATCCGGGGTCGGGTCGCGGGGGCAGCAGCTTCAGAAGGGAGGCCCAGACCTCCCTTTCCCC